ACATATGAAATGAACCGATACCGCTGGAACATCCTAGGACTCTGTGAGATACTATGGAAGAACATTGGAGAAACAACTACTTTGGATGGCCACAAACTATATTTCAGTGGCAGAGAGGACAAACATGAGCAAAGAGTTAGGTCCCTTATCCACAGCAACAACGCGAGTACAGTCATGGGATGTCGGCCAATATCTAATCAGCTCATCACCATCCGCCTCAGGGCAACTCCATTCAACATTACCAGGATACAGACATAAGCCTCAACATTAGATTATCATGACGTTAATGTGGAAGATTTTCATGACCAGTTACAAGAAGTTGTGAATAAAACACCGAAGAAAGACATTCTAGTTGTGCAAGGCGACAGGAATGCCAAGATGTGCGAAGACACAGTGACTAAAGAAAAACTAAACATACATGGTCCAAACAAAACGTGCAAAACAGAGAATGTGATTTATCTCATCACATGTAAGATCTGTGGCCTTCAGTACGTCGGAGAAACTGAAAAGCTACACAAAAGGATATAAACCTTCATAGATCTGATTGGATGACAAAAAAGCTGTACAGAAGCCCGGTCGCAGAACACTTCTCCTCCCCTGGCCACACTTTCAGTGATATAATACTTATCGCTATTGCTAACAACCACAGCTGGAGTTCCGAAACCAGGAAGGAGAAGGAATCATACTGGATACGCCGCCTTAGAACATTGAAACCAAGCGGTCTAAACCAAGAATACTAGAAAATGAAAACCATGCACTAGTAAAATTTAACATTTTCTAAATCTTCTTATTATCCTTTAATTTTTACTATAAGAATAACCAATATAGAATCAAATATCCGGGATATAATCTGCGTTACATATGTACAAAAAGTAAAAATAGATGTCGCTTTGGCTTGTAGACTTTTAGGGAATTATACAATGTTTTCAGTTTCCGCATCTAGTCTATACAAGCTGGTTGTATTTATAGTTTTAGCACATGTGAAGACAGCCATGTAGAGGTTTACAAACACAACGTTTTTGTGTTTATTTGTTTATCGTATATATGTTTTGTATTTGCCTTTGAAAAAGACTCATTAAGAGTCGAAAGCGCTTAGGCTAGTTAGTTACTAGTTTCGTACTGTTCGTCGTCAGTTTATTGCATCTATTTTAATTAATCCCTGACACACGTGATCCCTTGGTGGATCCTGTACGCTTGAAAGGGTTGTTATTCGCCATATGATTTGTATTCTTTATATATATATATATATATATATATATATATATATATATATATATATATATATATATATATATATATATATATATATATGTGTGTGTGTGTGTGTGTGTGTTAGCATGGGTTGAGGGTAAGTCACTGAAATGTGTAAAATACTATCATCACTTGTTTTCTCAACATAAAAGAACACACACACACACAGGTCTAACCTTCATTCTTATATTACAAATTAATGTTGCATACTCTGTTTTGTTGTTGGAGTCGTTTTATGCAAGTCTTCGTAAAAAATTCATTGGTTTTGCCGACTTTAGTTAAAAAAATCTACTTATTCTCTCAATGATTTCTGATACTCATTCTATAATTTCTCTCCTCAAATACGTGTATTGTAAATTAAATTTGTCCATGCTAATTTGTCTGGAAACCTTCCAGTTAAAATAAAGCTGATGAGACAAATAGACAAATTTTTAAATTATACAGTAACGTTATATATATATATATATATATATATATATATATATATATATATATATATATATATATATATATATATTACAAAAGAACTATAATCATGTTTTGAGTAAACAAATAAAACAGCAAACAATCCTGAGGAAATCTTTTTGGCTGTTATATTTACCGCTGTTTGATTATGACCTTGCAATAACATTGCTAAATACATGTTTTTGATTATCTTTGTGAGCTTGCATTGACATTGCTAAATATAGAAGATTTTTATCATCTGTGTGAGCTTACATTGACATTTTTCCCACAAACTATGTAATATATTCTACAGGCGATCTTCATAAAAAAAACTAACTCTCTGGGCGAAATACTGTTGCACGTTTTCCAATTTTTCCTAACACTATGTCACAATGAACCAAAGTTTTTAACCGTACAAAGCAGAAGACAATATATATCTCTCAGACGTTCACAGAAATTATAGGGTTCATTTCCATTTGCATTTAATCCAACTGAGTTATAAAATTGTAAGCCTATCCAGAAAATTTATTCTACACAATAAATCATTTAATTGACGCAGTTACTCTCGAATATTTAAAATTTTTGTTTCTGGAGTAACCTGTAATTCTAGAGCAATTCAGACTTGATGGGTACACATCCCAGTTTCCACATGAAACCATCTAAGTACTCTTGCAGATTATATTTTAATTTCCTCTTAATCTGAGCATAGGCCTCATCTTCAAGTATATGTAATCCATTCAACCGTAACTTGATGGTAAAAGTCAAAAGGGTCATATATGCGCATTTACTCATGTTAAAAATAAATTTCTCTTTTAAAATTTAACACTAAAAACCCAAAGTATATTCAATACTGAATATTGAATGTTCTGCACCTTTTGTGTCATCAAGAAACGTCTAGATAAAAATTATCTATCTATATGATCTTTTACAACTTGGCCTCTGAAGATTGCAAACTGAGCACCTACTTCTATTATGAAGAGAAGTGTACTACAATAGAGGCTTGAGCTTCGAATGTCTTGGAAGAATATTTCTGTTACCTGTGCATGTAGGCTTTGGGCACATATCCGACGGAAGGTGCCAGTATGCTTCATTTACGATAGAGTTAATGACCACAATCCCGTTTTGACCACGCGCAATGATTAGTGGGAGACTTTCCAGAACTAAAAGGCCTGAATGAATTGCCTATCTTGGGGATGCCTGAAATGCTGATTGCGGAATTTGCATGCCTGTAGAATGTGTATAATGCCTGTAGAATGTGTACCCTTTCTTGAAATGGAGTGTGCATGTGTAAACCATATTCCACAATAAAAATGCGTTTTAATCCCAATGGCGTTAAAACTTCTTGTTCTTTGGATGGTCTCCGGTAGTTGTGGTGGTGGGGGGCTTGTTCATTTTAGGAATCGTTTTGAATACACGTTACCGTTAAACATACCTCTGACTGAACAGAGGTTAGCATTGGTTCGATCAAGAGCTTGGCAAGATATGGCGAGGAGTTTGACGCCAAAATGGGAAACTTTCATCAACCCAATGTGCTGTATGCAAGTGGTCAACAATTTTAACTAAGGAACACATTTCCATTTGTAAATATTAATATCTGCCCATCATCTAATGAGATCATTCCTATCCTAGCAATTTGTTGCCCTTAATATTATTATGTTTACCACAAGTAATTTTAGCATTTCTAAGGAGATCACCATCTGGATTATATTTGTGGCAGTTTTCATTATTGTTGAACTCAGTAGATGATGCATGCTTACTAAATCAAGGTTTCTTCTGGAGTCGGACTGAATTTTGCTCACGATGGAAAATGTCCTTTCATTGTCTGCATTGGAGTGTGAGAATGTTGGAACAACTCTATTGAGGCCATCAAGAAGTTTGTTTCCTGTCCATGGGTCAATCCAGGTTGCTGACTGCCTGGCAGAATGTCTCAGGATTGGTGGTCTGAATCAAATTTGGGAATTTCCTCTTAAAATCAAACTATGAATGGCTGAATGCATCTTCATATCCCTTTTGACTGAATTCCAACCAGTGAAATTCCTGTTTCCAACCATTTCTGAAGTTTGTGTGATATTCCATTTGTTTAAATTCGGTATCAGGAGGTCATGCACATTTTAGATTTTGATAAACGTTGAATACTGATACCAAAGTATTTTATTCCACCAGAGTTCTTTAGTAATGTCTAATCTATCCATAATAGTCTTTAAATCTTTTTTCCAAATTCCCAATTATCACACAAAGCATTTTCCAATGACTACTACTGGTCACCTATAGTATAATTCAATGACTACTACTGGTCATCCATAGTATAATCCAATGACTACTACTGGTCACCCATAGTATAATCCAATGATTACTACTGGTCACCCATAGTATAATCCAATGATTACTACTTATCACAATTTTTATACTAAAATTATTAATTTTCGTTTTTTTTCTGTCAAATTAGTAAAACAGCTGTCATATTTCCAATCTTGTATCACAGGAAGTCTTTGCCACAAATATACTTCACTAGAAGCAGTGTGAATAAAAACAGACCAGAACAGACATTTCAGATTGTCTTAACGCTCATATATTTAAATATTGCCTGTAATGTACCATTGCTCTTTAGGTGAAAATGAACTTCCAATATAATGTGATATTCACTAATGTAATCTTTGACAAACAACTGTGCACATTGCTTACTTACAACTACTATTCATAGAGCTGTCAAGAAAATCAAGGGTGGATATAGGACACACAGTACTAATGTTACAGAAAAATTGGAACCAGCCTGGAAATGGGTGAACATTTAATAGAGTATATATGGTTTTGGCTGGCCAGGATTGGTTAATAATTATGTTTTAGAAAAAAAAATCTTTTGAGAGTTTATCCTAGTTGTAAGTGTAAAACATTTATTGAAGCTACTGAATTTTTAATATCATGGTGTTTGCATAAGTTTACTATGGGAACTGAATTAGTACTATGATTCCTACAATTCTATTTAGTCCACCGAGAAGTTAGTTTCCTATCAATGGGTAGATCCAGGTTGCTAACTGCCTGGCTGAATGTCTCAAGATTGGTTTGAGGTGATGTGATTATGATTTTTAATGTAGTTTTAACAATTTTTCAGTCCTATCACTATGTTATCTGCAGTGTGGCAGTTTATAGTGACGTCTAGCACTGGGGCAGCATGCCGCAGACATGTAGCATGATGTCCCACCCAGTTACATTATCCCCACACCAGGCCGACCAGTCCTAACACTAACCTCTTAATGCTGAGCATCAAGTGAGGCAGATGTTAGTACAATTTTTATAAGTCTTTGGAATGACTCAACCGGGGATTGAACCCACGACTTCATATATCTGAGGCAGACACTCTAACCACTAAGCTACTGGAGTGGTTTCTTAGGATCAGTGCTGTCTGCATCAAATTTGGAAAGTTCCTCTTAAAATCAATTTGTAAGAACAGGTGAATGCATATTCATATCTCTTTTGACTGAATTCCAACCAGTGAAATTCCTGTTTCCATACATTACTGAAGTTTGTGTATGTTCCATTTGTTTAGATTTGGCATCAGGTCATATACACTTTTGATTTTGAAAAAAGTTAAATACTGATACCAAAGTATTTTATTCCACCAGAGTTCTTTAGTACTGTCTAATCCAACCATAGTAAAGTCTTTAATTCTTTTTCCAAATTACCAATGATCACACATAGATTGCCAATGATCACACATAAGATTAGCAATGATCACAAATAGATTACCAATGATCACACAGATTACCAATTGTCACAAATAGATTACCAATGATCACACATAGATTACCAGTGATCACAAATAGATTACCAATGATCACAGATTATTCCAATGATCACTACTGATTGTACATTGTATAATCCATGGATTACTACTTATGACATGTATAATCCAATTATTAAATTTTATTTATTTTCTGTCAAATTAACAATTAAACTATCATATTTCCAGCCATGTGATGACAGGAAAAATCTTTTTGCCACAAATATACTGCAGTAAAACCAATGTGTAAAAAAAAAATAGACCAGAAAAATGTTTGTTCCAGTAGTTTTTAAATAATTTTAAGTATGCGAGAGACGTAATGAGTGACTAAAGTATGGGAGAAACCTGTCATCTTTGGTGGACAACCTTCCTCATTGGGAGGTTCACATATATGCTGAATGAACATTTTAGATGAAAGAAGATACCAGTGCATTTTATTTTTTTATTTTAGTGGCCACTGAATTATTATGTCTTTGTGCATGGTTAGAAAGGAATCTGTTCAGATTTTTCCAAGTGAAAATTTGCAGAAAATATATTAAAATACAAATAACACTAAAGACCTTCAGAACAATAACATTTGTTTTATATCAAAAAGACAAATAAATAATCAAGCAAAACAAAATAACTGAGGAAATCTTTAGTATAGAAAAAATACCAATTGTTGATTTCAAAAACAAAATGCCAATAGAAATCTAGCAAATGTACCCCATGATAAAATGTACAAATATGATATGTAACACATTTCTTATCAGCAAAGCAATTTTACTATATAACAGATAATCCAAGGCCATTAAAAAAAACACTTCTAATGTAAAATTTATTGATAATTGTGTTCAAAACTGTAAATATCTTTAAATGCTTTTTTTTTTACCTAAACTTTTTACAAATCATATAAATGAAATGCCTCGGGATATCCTTTGATAACTGTTTTTGCATGAAATCCTTGTAGGTTTTCAAATAGATACATAGCTGTTATTATGCAGTGTTCATTTTGAAATAAGGAATATCAGACTATGTTGATAATATTCAGAGTGCAGTCATAGAGTAATCTCATTAGAATACAAACTGGACCCTGTTTTGCCAGAACTGCCAGATCACATGAAAGCAGGGCTGGGTCTGTTCAGGTTGCAATTGGAATTGGCTTATAATCAATCACAGAAGGTATGTTTGCAGGAGAAATAAGACAACCTTGCTACCTACAGATATTAACAGCTACAATAAAATGATTACCAATTCTGACCATGTATATAATATGCACCCAGCTGTAGAATAGAGAGACAGTCTGCTGTCAAATGATGCTGCAACAGTGTATGAACTGTTTCAAAGCTCTGGGCAATATATCAGAATTTTAATAATTCTGACCATGTATATAATAGGCACCCAGCTGTAGAATAGAGACACAGTCTGTTTTTAAATGATGTTGCAACAGCTCTGGGCGATATATCAGAATAATTTTAATAATTCTGACCATGTATATAATAGGCACCCAGCTGTAGAATAGAGACACAGTCTGTTTTTAAATGATGTTGCAACATCTCTGGGCGATATATCAGAATAATTTTACAGAAACAAATCAACTGCAAATGCAGTGCACAAAAACTACATTTTAAGTATCTAATCTAAGGTTGTAGCATAGGGCTTCTACCATAAGCCGTTTTGGATGTGTTGTACTGTTTTAAAATTAATGCACGATTCACATATACCCCATCACAAGTTTAGTCCAACCTAACAATCCTGATCTGTCAGTGCACAATTCTCCAGAAGATCTGGGTAGATGCAGTTTCTTAGAAGTAAATGGTAGAACAAACAGCACAAACCATGATCTCAGCACATTATGTGATTGCAGATCAGTGTCTATGATGTTTGCAGTATATATATTACTTGATAACAATGGGAATCATCAAAATGCACAATATTTTTTAAAAAAATGCAATTTGATTCAAGCCAGGGAGTAAAATACCTGATTAACAATTGTCATCAATAGCTGTTGATTTTGTTCAATATGTTAATAGTAGGATCAACAAAGAAGGCCCTGTTTTAGCATTTAGCACCACCTGGTTACCCATTCAACACAATTTTCCTTTTTTTTATAAATAAATAAATCAAACAACTACCTCTCACAATTTCTAATGCATCTCATTTTTTTAATTTTTTTGCAACTTTGTATTTTTGTAATTTTGCAGCTGTTACAAACAAAAATTTGTTTTAATTCTAAAAGAAATTCTCTATCTTATCATTCTGTTGATTCAACTCTCATTTTCAGGGCTGTATTTAATACTGTCAAAACTACTTACAAATTTGTGGCATTTTTCAAAACTACTACATAACAGAAAGAGAACAATTTCAAGTGAAATGGTTCTCATCTCAATGCAGTATTTCTAATTAGTAAAGAGATATTTTTTTCAAAATGGATGTACCTCACAAGTTATTAGAAAATTGTCTCAAAGAGGTGTGCCAAATTGTTTAATTTTCATTGCTTTGATGACAGAATTTTCTCAACTGCTTCCTTCAGCAGGTATGCAGACTCATTTTTGATGAAGGTCTCATGATCCCCATCAAAAAATTGTATCTGAACTTTGCCAGAACAGTACGAGCTCAAACCATAATCAGCTGGAAGAGTAACCGCTTCAAAAACTGGTTCTGATTTTATGCGAAGAAGGTAAACATCACCTGCAGAAAAAATTAAAAATTACTTTGATTTCTCCATCATGAAATAAAGGTAAATAAAAAATTCATACTTTATTAACAGCTTAACATTTACCAAGGTAGCAAAATATGGTAGATATATACAATATTGTATGGTACTTGTACAGTGCATATCATGCATAGTGCCTCTTATATCCTTGTTTATTACTAAAATGTATTATATATATTTTGCTTTGTTAATAGTTTTAACCAAATATCCTTCTTCCAAATCACATTTTAATCATATGTCCATTTCTTTCTTTCTTTCTTTCTTTCTTTCTTTCTTTCTTTCTTTCTTTCTTAGTATTATGTGATCAAGAATTATTTTTTTCATTTATGTAAGCCATCGTACAAGGTGATGTAACCTGTATGAAAAAAGACAATTGATTATACAAAATATACAACCAGCATATATTCACACAATTGTAAAATATTCATTAATAAATGTTCATAATATATTATTGTATGTGTGTTTTGGGATTTTTTAAGAAGTTATATCACTACAATATCTGCCATAGAAATGTAGTATCATGTCCCACATCAAACCGCAGACATGTGGCATGATATCCCACCCAGTCACATTATCCTGACACCAGGCTGACCAACCCTAACACTAACCTCTTAAAGCTGAGTGCCAAGTGAGGCAGATGCAAGTACCATTTTATATGTTTTTAGTATGAGAGAACCTGGGTTCAAAACCCCACAACCTCCCACATTCAAGGCTGATGCTCTGACCACTAGGCCACCAAAGTGGTCAATCATAATATAAAAAAAAAAATCATGAATAAAGTTTGAATATTATCATCAATCCATTTTAGTACTGTGTTTTGCCTTTAAACAAAACTGTAATTTTCCATGTTATTAATTATATTTTATTTCTAACCAGCTGGTTATTTTGGTGTCTCCTTTCAACTACAACTAGTGGATTTTTGTCTTTTCAAACAGCAATCCAGGCCATTTAATTGTGTGTGTGTGTGTGTGTGTGTGATTTGTATTTTAACAGATTTAACAATTTTTTAGTCATATCACTACTATGTCTGCAGTGTGACAGTTTATAGTGATGTCTAGCCCTGGGGCATCATGCAGCAGACATGCAGAATTTGTCTCACCCAATCACATTATCCTGACACCAGACTGCCCAGTCATAACAATAACTTCTTAACACTGTGAGTGCTGAGTGAGGCTGCTGTTAGTACCATTTTTTAAAAAGTTTTTGTATGACTGCTGGATTTTGAACAGTGGCAGATGCTCTGACTAGGCCACTGGAGCAGTCCCATTTAAATGTTTCAACCTTGAAACTGGATTGGGTAGTAAAGAGGAAATTTTTATCTCAGGCATCATTTCTGGTAACTTTTTTCTATGCCAATCAAGGCCAATTAACTGCATTAACTGGCCTCTAACAGTGATATTAGGTTCACTAATCAAAGATTATCACTGGACATTTTTTACGGTATGAACGATGATCAGGTGAGTAGAAACACATCATCTTTTAAGAGAATTTTGCTGATTGGTGAATTTCTCAAGGGATTTGTGACGTCAACCAGTAAAAGCTTTTTTTTAAAATACAGCAAACACTTTTTAATTAAACAAAGAAGTCAACCAAGCATATGATCTAGGAAGAGAGATATAAAAGTTGACTACATCACAAATCATCATAAAATATTTCACTACACAGCATGGTTAAGATCTATTGAAGAGGCTTTGCCTTTTTCTTGGAAAGATAGTCCAAATCGAACATTAAAACCCACAGACATGTTTGCCAACTAAACAAGACTCCAAGATGATGAGAAGGAAGGAATAAAGTACAGAGACAAAGTCCAATACTGAGACTGTTAGTATTCATAATTCCTGATTTATAATGTGAATTTAGAAAAACATCTAATTCATGATGCAAAAAAGGTGAAGACCCTGAAGTG